TTTCCTGTCATACCTTTGGAATATTCACTGTAAGCTAGCATGATGTCCTCGATGCCGGTCCACTTGGGTCTTTCGTTCTTCCCACCGACGTGATCGTCTACATTCTCATCCACGATCTTGATATCTACGATTTTACAGTGTTGCTTCACCCCATTCTCACCGGGCATAGGCAAAGCAGGATAACCCATCGAGACGATGTTTGGAACCAAAGGTGGTAGAGGCGGTGGTCGTTCTGGAACCTGCTTTACTTTCACTCTGTCTAGAAGTCTCATCTTTTGCGGCGGTTTCGGTAACGTTGGTGGATTCTTCGAATACGCCTTGGCAATTCTTTCGCAGTACGCGGTTACGGAGTTCGAACTTCTCCGTTTCTTACGATCTTGCAGAACGTACTGCCACGTTACTTCTGCCTCTGTAAAATAATTGTTTTCATGTTCATTGTCAATCGTAATCATTCGAAAGTTTAATTTATAGCAACAACTATCGACAGCCGAGGAGAAACATCTCTCGCGCCAATACTTGCCATCTCTTCTGTTCGGAGGCATCACGTCGAGGCCTATGGTCCTGAGAAAACCAACTTTCGGCTCGAAATCTGGCGTGTGGAGCAATACATCCGGATGTTCCTGCGGTATTGGTAATACTGACTCGACCATTTGTTCCGTCTCCAAAGGTACTTCCGGTGGATCTGGATTTAACCTGTATCTCTTCTCCACTTTACAGAGCTCTATTTCTATAGGCAGAGAGGAAAGAGAAAGCGATTCACGAGCGTTGAAATACATATCATAGACGAAAAGCAAACAGCAAGAAACCTTATTACTCGTACTTACCATTCCTCATACTTAAAGTAGTTAGACCGAACATGGCGAGGAATGCAAGCTTCTTCTCGGAATACTGTAACTTGGCTGGTGGTCCTTTGATAATCCAGAGATCCACGTCCTTCGTTTCTTCTTCGCCTTCCGAATCGGAACTACACGCGAGGCCTGTATTATTTCTTTCCCGTTTCCTCTTCCTTCTTCTCTCGGCTAGATCTAACGAGGATGTTAACTCTCTCGGCTTCTCAGGTACAAGAAAAGACTTTTCGCTCGTGACATCCTGTTTGACTAGAGCCTTGCTCAGGTCAGGCACATTTAATACCGCTGGTTCGCACTTCACGGAAATCTCAGTCAAATTATTGCACTTGTCGGTGAAACAAAATGCGGTTTTCAACTCGTTCGAGAAATTCAACAGTTTCTCTTGGTATTTTGGTATCTGTAGGAGAACATTAGACACGTTCTGACAGGTACGCAAAACTTCCTCAGACTTGATGCTCTGCATCAGCTGAGTCGTATCTATAGGCTTCTGTGCGATGTCGTTTATGCTGAACTTAAAATTCGGTTGAAACGATAATGTGGACAAAACGCTGTTCTGATCGCTCTGTATCTTAGACTCTACTTCAGGTTTAATCTCCTTCTCCGCGAGATTAAAGTTTATAGGTTGAAAAGTGGGTGGTGGTGGTAGTGGTGGTGGTGGAGGTGGTGGTGGTGGTGGTGGTTGTTGTGGCGGGCCCTTTCCTTGTTGTTCGTAAGTCAAATGGGGCGTCCACGGCTTCTCCTGATGCGAATTTTTCCCTAAATGATTCAGCTGATTCGCTGTCGGTTGTTGCTTCGCGTGATTTTCCATCTTCTCGTTGCACGAATTAACCTTGCTCTCCTTCATCGGTGTATCCGCGCTGTTCTTGTGATACGAATTCGCGTGATTCGTCATCTTGTTCCCGTGACCGGGAACGCCAACGTTATTGCCGTTGTAATTTACGTTTCCTGCCGTTTTGTCGGCGGATATGCAATTGACGACGTTTGACGATATCGACGGTGACGACGACGACGACGACGGGGACGACGATGACGGCGGCGACGACGACGACAACGAACAAGAGATCTCGTTTCGTTGAGTCACGGCCGCTGTCACCGTCGCCGTTGAATTGTTCTCGTTGACGTGATGCGCGCTGCTTTGCTGTTTCGTACAGTTGGAATTGGTCGTAGCTACTGTCGTGCCGCTGCTGTTACTCGTGCTGCCACCGCTACTAGTAGCTAGCGCCGGTACGTTCACTTTCGCTTGCGAGTGATGTTGATGAGGAGACGAAGAAGAGAAATGCGGCGGCGGTTTGTACAGACTAGCTACATGCGAGACAGGTATATGAGGATGATGAAATTGTTGAGGCGGATAGGGAATCGGGTGTGACAACGATTGCTGAATATTCGTGCTCTTCGTGTTATCCGCAATGGAATTCTCCGCTATTATCTGTCCGGCGATCGTATGCGACGTTGTCGTTACAGCGGTTGCCAATTTCACCGGCGATTCCTGATAAGAAATTTGATTGGTTATGATATGGTTGTGACTGTTCACGACGGGTCTCGGTTGAGGCTTCGACGAAGAGCGAAAGGAATCTTCGAACGGTCTAACGAAAGCCGGTTGCGGGGTGGTCGCCAACGTGTTCGTCGTGGTAACGGTGGTGATCATCGTGCTGCTGGTGCTCGTGCTCGAAGCATTCGTCGTCGTACTTATCGCGACCGTACCGGCGTCTTTACCTCTCGAACTATGAATACCGTGAGGCAACGGTGGCGATTTTCGAGTCAAGGTGGTCATATGGTTGACGCTATTCATAATCGAGGGAATCGCGTTAGCTGTCGTTAGAGTGTGCGTCCCGTGCGTTGTCATGGTGCCGCCACTGCTCGACAGACTATTGCTCGTCGTTGTACCGGCCGCGCTGCTACTACGTTGCTGATGTTGCGACGATGTGGACGATGTTACTGGCGACGGCGCTTGCGACGATTGTTGCATCTGTTGTTGTTGTTGTTGTTGTTGTTGTTGTTGTTGTTGCTGCTGCTGCTGCTGCTGTTGTTGTTGTTGATGGTATATAGAAGTTGTGACCGTAGTTGTCGCGCTGCTCATTATCGTAGCTGTATGCTGACTAGAATGAATAGTAGTCGAGGATACGGAGGGTAAATGGAGAGAAGGTATAGAAATGATAGGCGCCAAAGGCATAGTTAGGGATGGAGGTGGCGGCGGTGGCGGTGGTCCAATTACCGCTGGCGTTAAGGACGAGATAGAGGGTATAGGAGGGATAGGTGGCGGGCCACCGATAGCCGCGGAGCTTATAGCTGGCGGAGGTCCAAGGTTCAGAGGGGGTAGAGTAGAAGTCAAAGGAGGCGGCATAGCCGCGGAGCTGACGGATGAACAGATAGTTGCTGAACCCAAGGACGGTGGTGGTGGTCCAATGGGAGCCGTTGGATTCGGAAACGTTGACAAACGAGAGTGGTAGATGTTCGCCGTTGCCGTTGGATCCGATGACGGTGGTGGTGGTGGTGGTGGTGGTGGTGGTGGTGGCGGTGGTGGTGGCGGTGGTGG